TCTTTACATCGGTAGACAAACAACAATTAGTAGAAATCCGCGGTCTGGCTTTTAATAACGACCGGTCTAAACCCACAGCATAGTCTTCATTTTGCCCTCGGGAATTACAATATATATATATATATATTTATTTATATAATTAAATGCGTTAAAATATATGCAATTAAAACAAATTAAGATCTTCAGCTTAATTGAGTGATAGGGCTGCAAGGTCAACATCTCTCTTACTATACAACAATGTTTTGTGCCACGTAAAAATAAAAACAAGGAATTAAGAATTAATATTTTATGACACAATCAGTACATAAAATATAATTTCAATATCACTCGATATTAATATTATCACTGAAAATATTCGAGCGTTTAAAATATAAGACATTACATTGTGAAGGATAAAAAATTACCGACCTAAAATACGAGCCCCCGTGTTAATATAAAAATGTAGTATTCATATTTAACACACTACAGAACTGAATTAACGAATGCTCCTTGAAAATAACCGTAATTTAAAAATACATGCAGTTTTTTTTTCACATGAGAAAATCTCTATGAGACCAATGAAATAAGAACCGTGCCGGGTTTATGTTTAATGCACTTATAAAAATTGAAAAAATCACATAACATTTAATCGTGTTCTCGGTAGAAATAATATARTATTATAAACGCAGACTTGCAGTCAGCTATAACATTCGAACGACCTTCTCTTTTTATAACAATATTATATAGCCAGCATCGCCTATAAAAATGTCTTCACATTCGGCGTACGTAAACAAATAACGGACAATATAAATATGTACACTTTTAAAATTATTTATTATAATATTATATAATATATAATCATGTATATATGATTTGTCGGGCCGATAGCGATATCATACACGTGTGGGCGACCCCAAGCATTGCGATATTGTATACATAATATTGTGTGTATATATATATATTATATAGATAATGCTCACGGATAGACGGTAGTAAAATATGAGCATATTCATTATATTAGCGTGTATAATAATAATAATAATAATATGTGCGTTGGCTCCTCCAGAGCACTACGTCAATTACCATAAACACACACTTTATAATCTGTCTCTGCTCGATGACAGTGTGTTCTCCGGAGACGTTTATATGCACTTTCCGTGTTCGCAAATTAGAAAAGCGGATATTATACGGTAAATGCTGCGAGTATAAAATTTTAGTGAGTTTCGGCGGTATAAGCAAATAAAAATCATGTTTGCGTCACAGCAACAGGCGAGCGCGCGCGATTAGCATTCGAGTTATTTCATTAAAATTAAATAAATCATAATATMATTATATTTATATCTATACATATTGAAGTGCACCTATACATCTATAATAGTATTATATTTCATTTGACAAACAATTAAAATAATATCATACTAGCAGACTCCGTTTCAAAGCAGATATCACCACGTGCGAGCGATTTATTAGAAAATACTTGTGGTTAAAAATAATATTAATATAGATGRATATCAAAAATGATTCATTGTAGAACATTCCATGAGAACAACCGTTCAATAATATTATATTATTTATACCACAATAATTGTTCTTTCATACATTTATTTTTTTATTTTCTAAAAGTATTATTCAATCTATTTTGAAACAATTTAACGATCAGCTTAAGACCATTAACATTTTTGGTTCGTAACTCCTCATTAATAATGACTTATGGAAAATTTAAAGGGTATCTTAAAAATACCAATTTATTACTTAATTAATATTTAACTATTTATCAAATAAAAGATTTTATAATAATAAAAAAAAATAAAAATACTCACGTTAGATGAGGAAACGAATAAACAAAAATAAAATGGATGAACAGGGTGATAATTTAAAAAGAAAATGTTAATAAGTGCAGTAGGTATGTCTGTATACGTAATTGAACGCTTGTCGTGCAATGAAGCATTATATTATAATGTCGGTTAGTAATGCATGTTCTTTTTAAGTATTTTAAACACATTTTCACACCTAGGCCCCTTTGATTTTTTTCTACATCCCGTCCCTAAGTTATATTTTCGAAATGGAACAATAGGAGTTCGACGAGTGCCTGGCACGCCCCTCGTTTATTATGTCCTATTCTTTTAGAAAGGGGAAATATTTTTCGCACTTCATCTCTTGCTGACAAGCGATTAACGAGTTACTAGCAAAACATGCATGTACAAGTGAAGAATTTTGGTTGTATTTGTATACAATAAAAGTACTTTGGTTTATTTTTATTTTTTGTTTTGTTTTACAATACACAAAGAATTCGTGGCTCTTGGATGGCACAGCTAAAGAAGGGGAAAAATACGATGGTGTAGTTGAAAAAACGACCGAAAATAATCGACCGTCAGGGGGTTTTGGCGCAGTTACAAGAATAAAAAAAACGACAGTAAAACGAATAATAATATGTTCGATTAAAAGGAATTCTTTACCAAACTTCGGCCRTAAGATATATACAAATGTCATTATATACATTATGGATAAAAATCTTTCAGAAAAATGATAGTATGAAGAAAAAGCATTTAATGGTTATAAAAAGTAATTGAATATACAAATTTAATTTCTATTAAATGTTACTTTAATGAAGATTAAAGATAATATGATATAATATGATAAAAATCAGTTATAAGAAAATACCAATATGAGTTTGAAATTCCATACCTACTTAAGCCGAAATCAAATTATTAAATGATGCTTATATTTTGTAAGTACKTCGAATAAATAGTTTAACCTAATAATATTAAATAATATTAAAGTAATACATGTATCTATATCATAGTATTATAACAATATTAAGTACTTAATCAAAAAAATATGTTAACCTATAAGTCAAATGTTAATTTACTAATCAATATTTTTCAGAAAATAATTATTACAATAAATATCTTTCTCATTTTAAGAGCAACGCTTATGCAAAAATATTAGTAAAAACTTAAATTGTGTACAAACTTAAAAATCGGTATGCTTCATTAAATATAAACCAACTGAACTGGTTCACCCACGTATACTAATATAATTTGTTCAATATGATAGGTAAACATTAAACATGCGTAATTATATGTAATTATATGTATTTTATTTGTTTTACATTTCTTAGATATATATTTTAAGGCTTTAAGCTGTTACCTGTGAGTTTTCTTATAAATACAATTTTTTAAGATTAGGAGATTTAATGAAATATTATAATATGTTCAACTTTATATTAACATATAAAAAAAAAACATAGTTCTTATATTTCATTTAAATTAATCTTTTTTCTGTTTGCTGGTGGCTGTACCTTCACTCACGAAATATAGTTGAACTTTTCCATTATGTTGAAACATATTGGAAATTTGAAATCTCAACGGAAACTTTTAAGAATAATAATTTTAAARTGGAATTTGTTTTGTAACCTTGAACACTATTTTTGGCCAAAAAACATTTTAAAAGATTTGTACTGTTGATCGGAGAACAACTGACTAAGCAAATTTACTCATTATATTTTTACCATTCTAATATTTATAATTTTTAGTTCTCATCTAGAATATGTTGCTTGGAAAATATTAAATGTATACCTATTTAAAGATGAAATATGAATTGTATTGGTATTGTTTGTAAAATTATAATGATTAAAATTCCTAGTTTCGTTTAAAAACTGAAAAAAATTTTAAAAAAAAACCACCAATAGAATTTAAACGCAACCTGAAACCTCCCATTCTATATAATGTGTAGGTAAAGTAACTCGATGTACATCGTTATTTGTTGTGTCATGTGGTTTCAAAGCGAACATACTCTCTGTATTAAGTCATTATGTTGTGCTTCTTCACCTGCCCGGCACAAACATTTTTTTCGACAACAAAAATAATTTTAATCTGATTATATCAGAGATTATTAAAATAGGTACCTACTTCTTTTTAGTAATTTCATAAATAAATGCTAAAATCTTTTAATAAAATTCGAGGTAATACTTTTTAAAAGTTAGCTATTATTTATGAGCAGGGACATTATTATTGTTATATTGTGCAAGAATATATTGTAATTTAATGATTTATTTAATGATTTCATTCGGTATTTATATATTTTAAAAAAAATAGGAAGGTAGATATTTAATTTGGATGAAAAATAATAACTGATTTTAAAAAATTCGTATCGTTTGTAATAATTTAAAACGACATCCACTCCGTTTATACGTATATATATAGGTATATAATATTAAATTAAAAGTTTATTGTAAAMCGTGTAATTAATTTATTTTAATCAGTTGCGTTAAATGTGCTTTTTAATTAAATAATTAGTTTACATTAGTTTACTGCTGCGTAATTCGATGTAATTATGATCGTATATGCGATGTACCGTATTGAGATTTCATGAAAGATAAGCATGGACGCGTATAGAAATATTGCATACTCATACACAAAGAAAACTCTGCAGACTAAACGTAGTAACTGTTATATACATATCGGATCGGTGTAAGTGAAAAAAAAAAAATGGTAGAATACTTGTTTTGAACCATAATACCTATACCCATAATATTTATGTAATGCTCGACCGAGGAAAACTCGAGGACTGCATACAAAAATCTTCGGCACAACCATCATTGTCGCCACACGACGTGTTGTAGACACAATGCACATATTTCTATCCCACCGAGTGCATACCGCGAGTGTGCGGGGGTGCATCGGCGAGCGAACAAAAAAAAGACGAGTGTCTTGCCCTCCGAATTGTGAACATTACCCTACATAATTTTCGAARTCGACTGTACACGACGATATTGCGAGGAGAGACAACCGGTTTGTATCCGAGATTGGAGTACACAAAGCCATGATGTGTATGCGTTTGTGTGTTTAGTCCTACTACTAAATATTCGCRGTTTCGACGACACGACGTCTCGAAATGTTTTTCGACAAGGTGAGGGTGAGCATGTTATGCTTAACCGTTCTAAACCTGACCACGTTTTTACGACCTTTTTAGCACTTGCATGAGCACCGGACATTTGAAAACAATAAGACTTTACTCACTTTTGTGGTGTCTAACGTGCCGTGGACGAACGCAACAGGGCTGTTCGAAGTACGCGGCRAAGAAATTGTCGACGACGGACTCGTGTTCGGCCGCCGACTGCGACACGGCTGCCGAGCCGTTCGCGTCGTCGGTGGCCCACGACGTTGCGGTCGGTCCATGTTGTGCAAACAAAAACGCAAACACCAACAACCGGACGGCGGTCGCCATCCATTTTTTGCGCATTTTCCCCGTCGACCGGGTCTTTATAACTGTCGGCCCCCTCTTTTTGAAAATATTAAATAATTCAATAAATTTGTGACGAAAAACAAAAACGATAATAATCAGTAATGGTACCGGYGTAAACTCGAATCGCACGCACCGCGAGTTTTTCTCGAGTAAAAATCCGCGCAAAATCCTACATCAGAAGGTAAATTCTTGTAATTTTTTTTTTTTAACGTATTCGTTCGCACTAGAAAGCAATGAAATAGTATCGTTAAGTTCACACCAGGGCGAACGTCAAAAACGCACTGAACTCGCACAGTAGACACACGCGTGACACGACCGAACTATAAGACGACTGGAATCGGCGGCAAGGACGGTAACGGCACGCRAAAGACGGTACAACAGCGCAACCGGACGCCGAATGGTCGAGGGTCGGTCGCGGTCTCCGGGCCGTGGCGTCGGCACGAGGAACGTTCGGTCTTGATCGCACGTCGTCGGCACCGGTCGSGCTATCGTCGTCGTACTCGCTGCAYCACGAAGAGGGTGCCTAAGTGTAATAATATTTTCTACTACCATGGTGTACCACCGCCATTCGCTGGTGTATGTGTGTGTCTGTGTGTCCATGTGTTGCGATTTTTCGTCATATGGTACAACCAGGTAGTAGGTTAAATTACCAAATACATTAGAGTTTCTATTGAATATTTACGGTTGTTGGCTGTTATCTATCGATTATAATAATTATTTTTGTAATCATATAAATTATTTTATTCTTAATATTCTAATATGGGTGAACGTAATTTCGAGTCTTATATTTTGTTTTGGCAACCATCGCACTTACCTACGTCATAGATTGTCGTCTTGGACAAATTTTTCATCAAATATTAGTAAGTTCAATTAAAGTGGTCCGTCACAAGTTTCATTGATTTTATTCATAATAGTCAAATACCTAATAGATGTATTTTTCGTTTAAAGTTTTCAAACTGATTCGTATCTATTTTTATAGACAATTATGRTTAATATTCCATAAAAAAGTTTTGTGAATCAAAAGTTTTGTTATCTGACACAGATGTGCTAACGATTTAAGCGACTTTATGAAACATCTGGATGTTTAAATAATAACGCTTAGGAAATAGAAATCCATTAGAATCGATAATAGAAATTAAAAACGTCCTATTTTTGCTTCCAATTACTAATAATATTATTTTAAAACTTATTTAAAAAATGTTTGAATGCAACATGATTAATTAAATAGCACAAAAACTTTCTTTTCATAAATATATAGATTCATAAATAGATACATTTGAGTCTACGTACACTATCTGTTTTATTATAATATTCTAATGGTTATCTTTTATGAGTTGTGTGAATTGTTAGCTGTTATAGAGAAGAGTTWTACTTTTTAAATTCTAAAGAAATCACATAATGATTCTGTGAGTATAGATAGTTCGTACACTTAAGAGTATTCAACAGTTCTTAAGGTATTTTTGGTATAAAGTCTAGTGGAATTTCTCTTGAAACTTTCTTAAGAGAGTACGAGTTTTACCATTTTACCGCTTCCTTTAATCTCAAAAATATAATATCGTATGAATGATTAAATTATTGTTTTCAAATAAATTTATATTATTTATTATATAAGACTACAATGCTAATATARTTTTCTACGGGCATCATTCAGAGTAATATTTGATATAATATTTCTATTTATTATCTAATAATAATTATCATAAATAAATATGTACGTTTCAACGTACTTTGAATACGTTATATATATTTTT